CAGGTTGGTGTGTGTGTGTGTGCATGTTCACAGGTTGGTGTGTGTGTGTGTGTTGAGTGGTTGGTGTGTGTGTGTGTTTGAGGGGTTGGTGTGTGTGTGTGTGTGTTAAGTGGTTGGTGTGTGTGTCTTTCTGCATCGTTGCGTATGTGCACGCCCACTGATAGTTGTGTGTATGCATTCTATGGCTATATCTTTGATTATCTGGAGCCAATTCTGTAGAAGAAAAGGGCGCAACAGTGCACACGTATCGTTGTACGATGTGATATATCCCGATGCACCGTTATATCTCGTACTGTAGCGTATGGTTGAGTTAACATGTTTTGTACAAACGTATATGCGTGTCTTGCCTCGTGTGTAGGTGTCTCGTGGTGTGTGCGCTTGTAATGTGAGTGCGTGGCGTGCGCATTTGAGTATGAATGTTTGTAGGAGTTTGTCTGAGTGTGTCTGCATGACTTTTATACGTTTATGTGCATTTGCACTATGTACGTATTTAGGTGGACGTAGGTGATATTATTAGCGGAGGTATGCATGTGCGTGTACATATACACATTTATTTTTGGGTACGCGTGTGTGACCTGGTTTGTACGTACACATTATCAGCTGGTAGCTACCTTATGTCGTTTGCATGTTTTGTGTCACTTATAGATACGTGTAAGAGTCTCCTGAAGTGTCTCCTGAATAGTGCACCGATACAGCCACAGGGATGGGTACACCACACTACCATATACATGTGCACACTGAGAGTTCACATCATCACCCTAAGTCAAAGACCACGTCCACATTCAACGCCTTATTTGGTCTGGGTTTTAAGGTTTAGGGTTAATGTGTCTTTATTTGCTTACACGCTATATGTGTGTCGAACGTTTAGAGTTTAGGGATTGGTGCCTGTGTTTGCCAGTATAAGTTCCGAACGCACACAAAGCTCAACGGACGACAAATCGTTAACTGAACCTTCAACCTCAGGACACGTGGCACGCGCATGTCGAGCACCGACAAACACATGGAGGTGTTTTGGGACTTCATCAGCACCGCAGATGGGCATCGGTTCAACGCTCATGTGGTAACGTGTGTGCTACGGCGCATCACCACTCTCACAGACCAACTTACCGCACGCGACAGTGTGGCCACAGAAGACTTTGAGGAACTGTGGCTAAAACTGCAAGGTATTCAGACAACAAACAGTACAACACGCAACCCAAACAACAGCACC